GGGAATCCTGATACCCATATCCCCTCCCTTCCGACTTAGGTATGGGACCTCCGATGGATTTAGCTTCAACCGACGCTGCCGCAACCATCCAGCCTCCAAAGCCTCAGTCAAATGTTCAGAGAATGGATGGCCTTTCAATAACAGATAGAGCTGAGTGTTACCTGCATACTGATGGCAACCCAGCCCATACCTTCGGGCCAACTGGGCGGCGGGGCGCATATTGATGTTAAATAGCATTGGCGAGAGGATTGCCCTCTGTGGCACTCCACATCCCAGTGGGTATCGCGGGAAGGTCCTCTCGCCCAGTGCCACCCTCAGTCCTTGACAGGGCTTTTTTTTGTAGAAAAAGCCCAGCAGGAACCCATTATGATACTACCTCTGTACACAAAAAGACAACCAGAGAATCTGAATTGTGGTTGAAAAAGAGTTGTGTCTCGAAACGAACTACCACTCGAGATGTTCGTATCACCTATCTTCAGTGTCAGACGTCCTTTGTCTTGAAAATATAGATATTACAAACATCATTGAACGTCATCTCAACAAGTTTATTTATTCATTTTTGTCTATATAGTGCTATTGTGTGAACCTAACAGCAATTTCTTCCATTATTGTTGTACCTTTAAATTGCTGGTCCCCTTTGTAGATTTAGTGGCCAACTTGGGAGCCAGCCGGAACTCCGTTCCTGTGCGTTCCTGCCCAAAAATAGCCCTGGTCCCTGACCATGGAGACAGTAAGAGTTGTTCAACAGTGGAATGGGCTGCCTAGGGAGGTGGTGAGCTCCCCCTCACTGGCCGTCTTTAAGCAGAGGCTGGACAAACACTTGTCAGGGATGCTCTAGGCTGATCCTGCATTGAGCAGGGGGTTGGGCTAGGTGGCCTGTATGAACCCTTCCTACTCTATGAACTAAGTTCTATGATTCTATGAACTAAGGATTGGCCGCCCTCGAAATGTTGTGTTAAACACATTTCTCCAAATTCTGTCCACAGGAAACCCTTGACAAAAAGTCTGCTAAGCATGACAATTTGTGCAACGTTGCCTGCTTTCACTGGTTGTCCGTTACCACCCACCATGTGGAATCCGTTATTTGAGGATCCACACATAAACATGCACAGCCATAAGGCTGTTCTAAAAATTAATTACTTATTTATTCAAGGATGTCTACGAAGCACACAGGCTTTTAGACAAAATAATATAACAATGATTAAAACACACAAGGAAAAGGAACATTTGGCACTTTAGGAAATGTAAATATTGAATACATAACCTAAAATTTTGAATTCAAATTAAAGTTAAAATAGCCTCAGGAGCACAGCGTGCTTAACTAGGCACTGAATTAATGGCAGTAGCTCAATTTTTTTAGCACAGCCAAGATGAATTTGGCAACTGCCAGAGAGATGTGATCTTCATAACCAGACAGAGGGTTAAGTAAGTGAGTCCTCTCTGAGCGTTTGGGAAAAGTTACAAGAAGTGGAGTTACTGGGGAAGCTCTTAAACTGCCACAGAATTTGCATGTAAAAATTAATTATTATAAAGCATGCAAGCTTAGATTTTGAACAAAACTTGAGTCCAGTGGCACCTTTAAGACCAATGAAGTTTAATTCGGGGTATGCACATGAAAGCTTTATACCCAGAATTAAACTTTGTTGGTCTTAAAGGTGCCCCGTGATTCAAAATTTGTTCTATTGCTTCAGACCAATAGTTATCCACTTGAACCAAGCTTAGATTTTGTGACACACAATGGCTACAATCACACACACTGTGAACTGGCAAAATCCAGTTGGAAAGTGCATTGAAAGTGGATTGAAAGTGGATTGTTTCGTGTGTGCGATCGCAGCCATTGGACCTTTCTGCGTTCTCCTTTTAATTCATGTTCACCATGGTGTCCTCCAAACAACTCTGATTGAAAGTGGATTGTTTCGTGTGTGCGATCACAGCCATCGGACCTTTCTGCATTCTCCTTTTAATTCATGTTCACCATGGTGTCCTCCAAACAACTCTGCACTCAAATTGAATTCAACCTTTTTAATCCAGGGTGGTTTGTTTTTTCCATTCTGCACTAAAATCGAGTTTAACCTTCTTATGTATATGTTTAAGTTGGTGTGGGCCAGATAGGGCTGCCAAAT